TCTACACTGGCAGCCCATCAATGAAGGGGTCCTGTGGGATGGGTTTTCTGTGGTCAGCACGTAAAGCAGGCGGCCCAATACCTTTATAAAGTGGAGTGTAGAGGGGATTCATTATTCCCCTGCTCAGGAGAACTGACAGATGTGCTGTGTGCACGAAAGAGAGACAAGGGAGAGCTGCCATCTGCTGTTGGAAAATCCCTGGTTCGTCTTTTAGCCCAGGCACCGCTAAGAGCTGCAGGTGCCTCCTTCATGCCAGCAGCTCCCACCACAGTGGGATAACACACGGGGCAATATTCCACAGGGGAAACAGGAATCCAAACCCGCCGTGCACTGGGGAGGAGAGAGGTTTGCCCAGAGATCTCATCTCATGTGTAAATTAGGAAGAAGAGGATGGATTTACCAACCTTTGCAACCATCCATGCCAGCAGCAAAGCAAAGAGGGAAGAAGGTATGGCAAATCCACTGTGCCTCTAGGAGGGACTTGAGTGGAAAAATCAACCACATCTTCAAATGTAAGTCACAGATAGACAATTAGATCAGCATTTAGACCTGATCTCTGCAGTGGATTTTCAAAAAGCAGAGCATTCTGTATTATTATGGAAATGAAAAAATTGGTGACATCCTACATTCTAAATTCTGGGTACTTAGGGTGCAAAAAACCCAATCACTAACTGAAAAGGCAGCTCACTTATTGAAATGCCATTCTGAGTCATTCAGAATTGTTTATTTGCTTCTGAAAACATGTTTACTTCTATTTTCTAGGTGACATTTTATGTCAGTTCAGCTAAATGTATTATTTTTTACAAGAAAAGACATCCAAGTATTTAACATAAATTAAATAAAATATTTCAATCCTCTAAATAGCAAGTTAATATTTTTTAAAACTTGAATTAAGTAAACCCAGACAAATATGAAAATTCTGCATACAAAGGTATCTCTTGCTTATATTTTTGTCCAAGAGAAAAAATGAACGAAGGAAAAAGCAATCCATAAAAAACAATACTGGTCATTTACAAGGGAATCATACAATTCAATAATCCAGGACCAGGTCTTTCATAAACAAACACAAATTTGTAATACAGCAGCATGGTGCTGATTTGACCTGAAAGTAAACACTTTACAGTTATTGCATTGATTTTTTTTTCACTGCAAATTGGTATTTTTTAAAAGGATAAAAAGAAAAATATAATAATTCTAGAATATGTGTACTAAATTCTAATGATTTTCCAGTAGAAATGCTGAGAGGAGCAGTAATAATAAAGATGATTGTTCAGTCAATTCAGCTATATGCATTGGTGAATTTTCGAGTAATGATGTTCTGCTGTGATAGATGCATACATGTGTGTCTAAATATAAGTTTATAGTTCATGTCTGAAACTTTTAAATAATGACTGAGTTATTAAAAACAAAATCAAAAACAAAAAAATCAAACCAAAACCACGTGGTCATAGTTCAAAAAAGAAAATATTGATTTAATGCAGTAATTATGCACAAGGCCTGGTCTGACAAAACTCTCTCAAAATTATTTTTTTTCTGCCAAACAGATAACAGGAATTTTATCCCACTATACTTCAGAGGGGAAAATTCTTAATCCAGCTGTGTTGAGGCTTCTAACTTAACCCAGCGTCACTTAAAGCAGGAGCTGGTGATCCCAGCAGCAGCTGTCACACCCTCAGCTGAGTCCAGAGGACTGAATTCAGACGAGGACAGGTGAAATCCCCTTTGCAGGGCAGCTGTACTTCACACCGAGCCCTTTTGAAGGGAAAACCTTCCAACACCACACCAGCACAGGTTTTTCTTGCATTTGTGTGGCTTTTCAGCGGTGTTTGCCTGAGAGCAGGAGGCAGCCGTGGTTACACCCAGCAGATGCTGCAGCCAATTGTTCCAGTGCAGGGACCCAGGGCTAGCAACTGGTTTTCCCAAGGTGGGTTGTCAGGTGTGCTGGGGATTCACAAACAGCAGCGTTACGTGGCCAGCCCTTCACAGAGTTTCTGATGTTACTCTGGAAAGAAAGTGCTGGAGCTTCCCTCTGTTCCCACAGTTTGGTGTCAAAGGCCTGTGGCAGCTTGGGAAGATCCCCAGCTCTGGCACAGCTCCTTGCTGTGCTGCAGAGCCACCTTGAACTCGGCAGAGCTTGCAAAACCCACACAGCCCTTCCCCTCCGGACGCGGAGCGAGGGAGAGGAGAGGATCACCTCAGCCTTTGTGCCGCCCGTTCCTGGCCTTCTCCTTCGGGAAGATAAAGCTGAAAGTGTAAAGCTGAGCAGAACAATCTCAGTCACTGCAAAAAAAAAAAATGTTGGTTTCCCTTCAGAGCTGAGGAGAGCCTCAGGAGGTCCCCAGGAGCTGAGCCGGGCCGATATCCTGGGAGCTGCCGGCTGCCACGGGATGGCCACGCAGGGCAGGAAACCACTCCAAAGCAGAAAGAAAACAAATGAAAAAAACCCTCTCAGGCAGTTGCCAATAAAGTTTCTTTGGCTCTGTGTCTGGGCATGGCTCCCAAATCCAGCCTCTTGCCCTCAGATAAAGCACTACAGCCGGGAATGAGAGTCAGATGCGTGGGAGGAGTGCATGTGTCTGTGTCTGGGCTGGAAAACATATGTACTGTAGCACCTAGAAAAAGCTTTTTACTTTGGGCCTTGCTCCAGAAAACCTCTTTCCTTGCTTTTACAACTGTTCTCTCTTCCTTGGGACTACCCAGATGTTTAACTCAGCCTGAGGACAGGGAGCTGAGGAGTTTTCTCGGTGTCATTCCCTCTCACCCCCAGGCCTGGGAGCAGAGATATTTTTTATTACCTCTGTTCCTCGCCAGGTGGCTGGGATAGGGCGGGATGGTCCCCAGGCCGTGGGGTGACCCGTGAGCATCACTGCACCCACGGCTTCTGCTGTACCTGTCGGGAGGGGATCAAGCCTCAGCCTCAGCAGAGACACCCAAATACCTTGGGGGGTGAAAGAAGAGAGGGAGGAAGAGGGTTGTGTTGGTCTGTTTAATCCTGAGGTTCTGTTAATCAGTGGACTGATTGTCACTTTTTAAAAATCCGTATCCTGGAACTTTGCAACTCTGTGGGAATCTTAGCTAGTCTCAAATGAAAGGCAAACAGGAACCCCCACCACCAAACCGTGCGCCCTTAGCCTGCCAGGCTGCACCAAGAAGCTGGGGGAGGAGAAAAAAAGAGAG